TAATACACTTTATTGTATTGGGTTACTCTTATTCTGACTATTTGGTGATGTAGTTCAGCCACCTGGTATTTCCCTCTCCAAATATAATGACCATCAGAGTGAGCATTCTTAACTTATAGGCTATTATGCCACTTATCCCCATTCAGAATTTGACTGTATCAGAGAAGAGGTAGGCCTATGTCTAAATAAATCTAATTTGCAATAGAACTGTACCAGATATGTCCATACAACTACTGGTTAGTGTTCAATAGCACCCTAGACAATTCAGTAATGGTATATTTTTTTAGGGATTACTGTTTTTCTGATAAATTAGAGAAAAGTGATGGAGTCCTATGTTCCTATCACCAAAAAGTACAATTTCCGTCTAAACTAAAGCTAAGTTTACAGGACTATAATTCAGTATTTTTTTAGGTAAATAATTGTCTGATTATTTGGTGATGTAGGACAGCCACCTGGTTCATACCTCAGCAAATCGGAAGAAGAAAGGAGTGATCATTCTCAAGTTATGGGCTTTTTTGTCACCTTTTCCACATTCGGCCTGGTCTAATTTGGCTCTTTTTCAGGGATTGGGGTAGAACAACCCAAAACACTTTTTTCCCCCCAAAATAAAATTTGACAACAATCAATTTCATTAATGGGAGACCATAAAGATAAGAAAAATCATTGTTGTGTTTTGTTCTTCTACCTCGGGTAGGGGTATCTCGAAAACTAAAGCCTTTTTTGAGGATTTGCTGCTAGACTATAAACTACGAGGTTCTTCCGGGTTGTTAACGTTTTTCTTTTATTTACCTTTAGTGCTTTTCGTCAAGCGTTGTTGTGAATATTCTCCACAAATCACACGTTCTAAATTCGATGCTAAGCAACAGAATAATAACAAAAGTACAATGTCCTTTATACGGGACAGTATTTCCGGGTAGAAGAAGACGCTTACCTCGTCGAATGTACCAGCATTGAAGCTGATTTTTGGAATGTCCAAACGGTGGTACTACAACTTCAGTCAAGTCATTTTGGCCCAGAAATACTTTTTCCCATTGACTTAGTTAGCTGACAATCAACGTAGAAGTGTTTTTGAGCTAAATAAACTACCCAGCACAAACACTTGTATAGCACTTCTTAAATCACGAGGGTTTAACAATTGTAAAATTCGATAAAAGCTGATGACTGAGCCGAGAGCGGGAGATCGGAGGCGGGGTTTACGGTAAAATCCAGTGCGCATGCTCTATAAACAAAAGGCCCCGGATGATCCGGGTACTTTCTGAATCTACATGTGCTCCATTTTGGCTTCATACGCTACTGAGCAACCCTCATAGGACTGAACGGTGCCCCGGACCCGCCTGCGACGCTGTGTCCAGTCCTCTTTAAACATCCATGACCCCGGTTGAGCTTGAAACACATGGATAAAATGTTATGGTTCGTATGGTTCTACAGCATGCATACCGGTTGACACGTGTTTATCGAGATTGACTAGTGAGTGGACAATGTATTGCTTACAACTTAATTTAAAAACACAAACATATGTTTTTATGAATTTGGTATTAGTGAACCTACCTAGCCACTGTATGATTTGTGTCTGCTAGCAGCACGGAGCTAAACATGCTGAGCTTGCTAAAATAATATGGCTTCACTCCAGTTAACCAGGTAATGTTGAGAGTACTGTAACGTTAGCTAATCTACGGTGTGTAATCCGGGGCAGATGTACTGTACGTGGTTAGTCTATCGTCAGATGACACGGAGCTAAAAAGAAGCTATAGAGGGAGACAGTATTTAATGTTAGCTTGTTGTGCTAACGAACTCTCACATGCTTGACAGAGTTGTGTGCACCGTTGTTAAGCTACTTGTGTTTGTGGCTAAATCACGTAACAACCATTTACTAGCTTTCCGACACAGCTTCTGCTCTCTATGCACCAGTGTCAGGTTGCAACCATTTTTCCACACTCTTTTTCAAGTTGCAAAAGTCTTGTAGTGTGGACTAAAACGAATCTGGTTTAATGCTATTAATTTAATGCACTTTCTGCGACAAAATCCCGTATCTAGATTTTGGTGCCAGTATTTGAAATATGGCTGATTCAATGTTTAAACTAGGAATATGTAATGTCTGGAAAGAAAATACTTTTGTTATTGTGGATGTGTCAGTATGATAAACAGTCAAATACAGAACATTAATATTAATTAAAACTACCACTACCAATAGAACAAATAATAATAAAGTCTATACCAAAGTCCACATAACTTTTTTTTATATCAAGTTACTTAAAAAAAACGTCATTTATATAATCACTAACGGATTTTAAAAAAGCAATCATAATACATATAAATCGTAGTATGTTGGTCCATAATCATTAAAATATTATTAATATACTAATTTATACAATGTCTTCCAACACAATTAAGATTTTCTGGGAAAAAAACCTCATGTGGACTCTTTTTTTAATAGCAATCCCTAGCTTGTTAATGGCTTTTCCACATTACTGGGCCCATATCATTTAAAGTTCTGTAAATGTTGATTCATATCTGTCCTCCAATATTTGCTTGATTTGTTTGTCATTCTTTTTCCAGCCGTAGGGCCCACATACTTCAGCACTGGTCTGTCAACATTTTAAGAGCAAGCATGAGCAGCCTGGATCAACACCAGCATCTCCATCCTAGTTGCCCTGACAAAACAACAGTCTCCAGTGATTCATCAGACACCCGTGAGCTAGCCAAGGAGCCTCTTCAAGGTCTAAAATTGGCATCACATGCGGTGCTGGAGAAGGCGAAGGAGAGGGGCAGGTTAATATGCTCTAAATGTGGAGGATCAAGGATGTTCTTCTGCTACACATGCTGCTCATTACTGGGTGTCAGCCATCAAGAAATCCCTGTGATCAAGGTCAGTTTAGAGGCCAGGACTCTCTTGATTGTTCTTTTGAGAGAGTTGCTGTAATTTAGCAGTACTATGTGATTTAAAATCCTAAAAGTAATGTTTGAAATTGTACAAATGGGGTGGTTGAACTGTAACTGTCTTCTGGACGTAACTCTTAATATTGTATGTGTTGCTCAGCTTCCTGTGAAGATAGACATCATCAAGCATCCCAATGAGTCGGATGGAAAGAGCACTGCAATCCATGCCAAGATCCTCGCACCCAGCGACGTCAACATATACACTTACCCCTGCATACCTGACTACGAGAAGAACAAGGTTAGTTGTTCTGCATCCTGAAAGAATGTTGATTATATGGTATAAGAAAAAATTACATTAGTTACATTTTCAAAATCAATGTGAAGACGTCTTCAAATGTCTTATGTCCGCTCAAAAGTTAAAAACCCAGTTATTAAATTTATTAAAGACAAGCAATTATCATAATTATGTTGTTTGAACTAAGAAATAGTTAGAATTGTTTTTATAAAATATAACCATTTATTAAGTTATCAAAAAATTGCAGGTTCTTTTTTTTTATCAATTAATGAATCTATGAACCAATTATTTCAGTTCCATTGCACTTCATTGTCTTCATATTTTTGCTGCTTCATTTCCTTCTTGTACCCATTTGGGAAAACTCCTCTGTCAGTGCACCTTTATTTATCTTTTAATTAACATTACATTTTTTATGTAATCATAATAAATACCATCATTAAACTGTACATACAGAATGACCAAAGCTTTAGTGCACGCGCCTTGTGTGCTTTTTGTAATAGATAGCTTTCAACTGAAATGTCTCTGTTTCAGTCAATTTAATTATCTCCGTCTTTCACTTTGAATTTGCTGCGTTCAACCCTGTGTTATATTATCTCAGTGCTTCTAAATATCGGCATGTATAAATAATCAAATTGAAGAAAGGAAATATCCAGTCTTGGTGTGTACGACAATGTTCTACTCTGAATCTGTGTTGTCCCTCTGCCTCTCTAGGTGGTGTTGGTGTTCCCGGGTCCAGGGGCTGTCTCGGTTCTTGACATGATCCAGTGTTTGCACGACATGACCGACAGCAGGTCACATGGCCCCTCTGGTGAACCCTGTATAAAGAGGCTGAAAAGAGAGGAAGAGACAGGGGCCACGCACACTGCTGACAGCCCAGGGTCAGGGACCCCAGATGAATCAAAGGGCTTGCAGTCCAGGGCGTATCCCTTACAGAGGGTGGTCTTCATTGACAGCACATGGAACCAGACCAACAAGATCAGCACAGATGAGAGACTGCAAGGTAATCATGGCAGATTGTATCGTGCAGCTTTTTAAATAGCTCTGACTGCTGGTGATTATTAGGGGCAAATGCACTTCACCCACATCGCTGTTTAACATGATCTCACTCCGTGTTCGCGTGTGCACTCTGACTGACATGTGTTCTCCTCCAGATATCCTCCGGGTGGAGCTGAAGACGAGGAAAACGTGTTTCTGGCGGAGTCAGAGGGGCAAACCAGACACCTACCTAGCTACTATCGAGGCGATTTATTATTTTCTCAAGGACTTCCACAAGCATTGCCTTGCTCAGGAGTACAATGGAGAATATGATAACCTTCTCTTTTTCTACTCGTACCTACACTCCGTTGTCAACAAATCAAAACAAAAAAAGAAAGATCTGCTGGAAAATGAGAAAGAGGAGAAAGCAGTTTAAAGAGACTTAGGATCTGTAGCTGAGAAGTAGATTTACATGCAAGCTCATTTGTGATTTGTTTTATTTATTGCCAAGTGATATTTTGTTTTGTAAATATTATTTGCTTAAGAATATGCAATAAAACACAAAAGGATTACAATTGCCAAGCATGAATGCGGTGTGTTTGCTACATGAGTAAATCAAAACAAATAGCAGTTGCAATAAACTGGATTATAGTAAACTATAAAATCCACATAATTTAGGGTATTTTATAAACCGGTGGGAAAAAGCTATGTCTTGATCTATTCTTTAATTCAACATGTGTGTGAGATATAAAAACTCAAAGTAATGCTCTTCCACCTTAGTCCATCAAAGTTAAAGCGAGTTTGGTTCCCTACTCAAATATAGAATGTAATGGGCAAGGAAATTGACATCAGATACGTTTGAATACTATTTATTTACAAATCAGTAGTTAATCTGAGTTATTTATGTCCCTTATTTTCCAAAAAATCATCTTATGAATTTGGCTATCTTTGTAATAAAATCACATTTGTTGCATAAATCCATAAATATATATCCTGAAAGCTTATAGTGAGAATCTGTCAACCTGTCTCTGTACTTGATAGCTACTGTCCATAATGCTAAACTAATGGGGGGTCTTTAGTAGTAGGCCTCTCTGATCTTCGCTTGCAGGCTGTCACACGTCTTCTTGGCATCTCCCAGTAACATTGATGTGTTGGGCTTGTAGAAGATGGGGTTATCTACTGCGGCGTAGCCCACGCCCAAGGTACGCTTCATCACTATCACCTGGAGTAAAGTTTGAGTGGATATGGTCACTTTTACATTCACAGAAAAAAAGAACGCAGTTATAATGTTGGGACTGCAATACATATCAAAAGTTGACCAACCTGTTTGGACTTCCACACCTCCAGAACTGGCATTCCAGCAATTATGGAGTTGGGATCTTCTTGTGCTGCAGAGTTCACGGTGTCATTGGCTCCGATGACAAGTGTCAAGTCCGTCTCTGTGGGCCACAGACGTTTACACATTTATATAAAATATGGAAAAAATGCTTTGTCCTCACTAATGTCACTGGGTTTCCCAGCACCACACTTATCTCCCACTGTCATAAACAGAACCATGTGTCTCACACTGCATGCCTGGTTGCTAAGAAAACAAGACTGTTGCCCTGATAACATGACATGTCTAAAAATCAAGATGCAACACAAGGCTGCTCCATGTGCAAATGAAAGGAGGATGAGATTATTTTAATACAATTCATCTCGTAATATTCTCAATCATGTGGAGCTCTCTGTAGAAAAAAACCTAAAGTGTACCTGGGAAGTCGTTATTGATCTCATCCATCTCCAGCACCACATCGTAGGGAACACCAGCCTCAGCCAAGAGGACGTTCAGCTGGCCTGGCATACGGCCGGCTACGGGATGGATACCAAACCTGTCCGAGACGGAAGCAAGTTATACTTCTCATCAACACTTATTGATAGATTTGTACTATTAACTCAGTGGTGTTGTATTAAGATATTTCACTGAAGAAAGAGTAGCAACGTAATGAATATGTATTGTAATGATTATTACTGATCCAGACAGTAAGTAGCATGTGTATCATCTAGCCAGGTGAAGGGAAAGCTACTATTGACTTTATATATTTTTGGGTAGTGTGATGAAAAATGATTTACAGTTACAACATTAAGTCGGTGAAAAGTACAATATTTCTCGCTGAAATTTGGTGGAATATAAGAATAAGGTTTGGTAATATTAAAATAATCAAGCCAAATCTGAACATAGTAATAGAGTACTTGAGTAAATGTGCTAAAATGGGTACTTTGTCTCCTTTTACTTTATGTCAGTACTGTGTAGTAAACTTTAAAAAGTACTTTTCCACTGCAAACAGGAAATGCTGCAAATACACATTTCTGGTGTTGGTAGGGAGTTTGTTTTTGGCTCGTAAAAATAATTTATAAAATCTCTATCAGGGCAAAGCCACCAAAGGGAAGCATTGGCAGTCCTTTTGTATATAAAGATGATCATGGGTGCAGATGTTCACCTGACACTCTTGCCCTGTTCCTTCAGCATCTTCACCAGGTCTGCAATCGGGTACTGGGCCTTTGCTGCACACAGACCCCAACCTAAGAACAGACAGGAAACAACATACAGAGAGTTAAGATGCAATAGCATACACAAATGTAATTTGAATCTAATCTTCCATTTACCTTGTTGATGGAGCCAATTATCCAATAGCATTTCTTATTCTGGATTTGCATTTTGTTTATGGCCCCATTGTAATAAATGACCCTTTTTAAATGAAAGAACAGTAGGGATTCACTAACAATAAACCCTATTATTCCTCTACGCTTCATTCTTTCCTTTGTCCCCTTCGCCCTGTCCTCATCTACCACAAGTCTCCTCTCTGTGTTTAATCATAGCGGTTCAATAGTCTGAGAGACATTTTCTTCTGAAACCATTCTCATGTGTGGTGTGGCTTTTGGTCCCCTGCGTGCAAAGAACTTCTTTCCCTGGGTCTGCCTAACCCCTGTTTAACCCTGGTGGTCAGGTACCTTGTAGAGTTCAGCATTACCCTTAATCAAGTTTTTTGAAGCGAGTGGCCCGTAACCCGTATCTTCTAATTCCCCAGACAACCGGAGCCTTCTGTTTCCTCACTGCCGTGCTTTGTTGTTGACAGCGCATGGAGAAATCTTGAGTCTGGAATCAATAGCTCTTATGACTTTTCACTGTTTCTGTAATCGAACCAACATGTTGGGCCACACATCTGTCCTTGCATTGGTTTGGAGCCACTTGAAAACAACAGCAATCCAAGTATTCCATTTTTGCCCCGAGTGGTTCCTCTTGATGAGGCCAGTTGACAACAACTCAGTTGTCATACAAGTCTGGCTTTTTCTGTTTAATAAATCAGGATGTGGTTCCCATCTAACACCAAAAAATCAAATGCATCATACTTTACCCTTTGATGATAAATATACTGACACTCAGGTCCAGGTGGCTGCAGGATCATTTGTGGGCAAACTGCTCCCTCTTGTGGTTACCCTGATTCAATATACTGTATGTTCTGAGTTTAATTAATTACTGCCGTATTAATTACACAAGATCCCGGATATTTTCTATAGCCTTGTGATTTCTTCTTTCAAAAAGTGCTGCGAAAACAGTTTAGATCCCCATTTTGGCAGAGCAGTCAAGCTCAGCCTTGTTGTCAGATGAAATTAATCCAATGAAAGTGATGGTTGAGGTTATTGATTCAGACAGCCTGAAAAGCTGCAGTTGGAGCGCACAGGAGGATCCACGAGAGAATCTGGTTTAAAGTCTTAGTCTCTGATCTCAACCCAAACCGTGTTATAAACCTATCTCTCCTAAAGGGCTCTGGTCTTTTTCAGCAGTGTCTTCACTTTGGGCTGGAGGATAAGATTTGAATCTGTACATTTGAATATTTAATTCAAGTTGAATCATGGGTAATGTATGTCTCTCTGATAGCTCTGGTTCATTGTTTTTGCCACCTTTCTTTTTCTACCTTTGACAGACATGCAGGGATGCCAATAATTCATACATATTATTTTCATGTTCACTGGCTCCTAAAAATGTATCCTTTATATTGGCAGATATAATTTGTTTTTGTTTTAGCTTCTTTTACCCCAATATGTAAATTGTAGCCACAAAATTCATTATAATCACCCAGTGAACTCACAAACGTCTTGTGTTGTGTGTACCTGGTGTGATGATGATGCTGTTGGCTTCTTTGACTATTTCAATGGTCTGGTCCAGGTTGATCTCAGTGTGAGTGCCAACAATCTCCATTGGCTTCCCCCCCGCGGTGGAGGTGGTGCCGTACCCACCCAGGATCACATTGGGCAGGGAGCGGTTCATAGCCTTAGGAGAGAAGAGGACACTAAGCTCAGGTAACTGTGCAGGTTCACACATGTGGCTGGATACAGGTGCGTCTACTCACCACACACATGATGTAGGAGAGGATGGCACCGGAGGAGCCAATCAGAGCGCCCACGATCGTCATCAGATTGTTGTCCAGCAGGAAGCCTTCAGCACAGAGCGCCCATCCAGAGTAGCTGTTCAACACGGTGATGACCACGGGCATGTCAGCACCCCCGATGGCTGCCGTCAGGGTGACACCCTGTTGGGAAGATAGTTGTGTAGAATTAAAACAAGGAGTTAGTCAAAATCCACTAAAGCCAATAAAAAAACACTCGTTTGATATGCAGCAATATTCAAAAGGGTTCATCGGAATCTGCAACAACAGATGGGAGTTTAAGGATTTGTATCCTCGCCTATCAAGTATTTCATCATCAGCAAATGTTTACTTACTTCCAGAGTCACTGATCAGGTACCAACATCTGCTCTCAATACACATATTATTTAATCAATGTGTTTAAAAGAGAGATTGCGTTACATTCCAGCATATTCAAAGAGAGGAAAAATGTCACTTCATTGGAATAATTTGATAATGTACATTTTTACTGAAATAAACTTTTCAATACATTAGTCATTTTATTATATTATTGCTTTACATGCTCTCGGCTTAGTGGAGTATTGAGACTCACCATAATAGTGGAAAGCCCGGACACTCCTATTAGACAGCCCATGCCAGTACCATAGCTGGTACTGAGCATGAAGGGCACCATGCCTCCCATCGACGCTGCCATCAGGCCGGCGTTCAACATGTGTCGTCCTGGCAAATGCAGGGGGGAGGAGTCCAGGATTCCTATAACCCAAAAAACACTTTTTTTAAATGCAGGGGGTAGTTGTCAATCTTTGGTGAGGCTAAAGAGGAAGAGTTTTACAAGATAAAACATGTAAATACACTTTACTCCAAAGCAGGGTTGAGTGTCTTCGAACTCTTTGAACTCCATCTACAAATCAGACCATCGCCCTGCACCAACCACAGCCATGAACCCCCTACCCATAGCAAATTACCCAAAAAGCTTCTCATGTGTTCCTCTTGATCAGCAGCACTGCAATGTAAATTAGTGACTTAACCCCCCCCCCCCCCCCCCCCCCTGGCTGGTCTGGACTTACCAGAGGATCTACGGCTTTAACTAGATGAAAGAGTCAATCAGTGCCAGAGGACGAAAAGCTCAGTGTGTTTATTTAGATGTTAGTGTGTCTGTGTCAAATAAAGAACAATGATCAGACCTTCAGGACATACTGTACAGACTATCGATCAAATGCACAATAGAACATTTCAGAAATGGTATTTCATTTCGAACCGTTACCTTGAAGCTTGCCGTAGGCCACCAGTGAGCCACTAAATGTGACGCCTCCGATGTATGTGCCCATATACGCGACTGTCTTGAGTACGCCGGCGGCAGGGTGGGCGTCCAGGTGGGGGAACTCAATCATGTACTCGGCAACGCAGGTGAATACAGCTGCCAGCCCCACAAGGCTGTGGAAGGCTGCCACGAGCTGCGGCAAGTCTGTGATTTCAATACGCTTGGCAATGGTCAGACCTGAGATATAAAGACCCAACAAACAACAGATATCAGTAAATCTCTTTAAGTTACTACAGTTTATATGGCTAAGTCAAGCACATCACACTTTTCATGCACACCGGCTTCGTTTGAATACAAAGATTGAAATAAATATGAAGTAAAACAAAACATAGTTAAAAGGTAAACACCTGCTTTCAGTTACTTTACTCCAACAAACAGGGCCTGATCTTCAAAGCCAGCATAGGGTGTCTAATTTAACATTAAGTAAACCCTCATGCTCCGCTGCCTGTGTGAGCATGTTGATTAAAACATCATTTATCATCCTGCTTTCTCTAATTGCTTCTAACGTTTGTTCACACATGATGACGAAATCCACTCATCTCCGTATCTGGACAGGATGATTAATGTTCTGTTGTGAATTAGCGAAAAATTCACACTCTTCAAAGACTGGAGGAGTCGCATGCAAAGTTAATAAAATGTAACTCATTCATGGTGGTCTTGTGGTTTTCCAAACAAACTGTTGAACTTCAAAAAGAGTCAATGCACGAGCCTTATTAATTTTGTTTCTTTTGGAGAATGAAACCCAGAGAGGCCTCTTTGGAAGTCATCGCCCTTACCAATACTTCTTAGCATGCTTCCTAGGGGCTTTGGATAGTGAACGACCGAAATATCTGTTCTATGCTGCAACTGACTTAATCAGTGCCAGATTAGGCTTTTAGAAGCGGGTATATCAGCATGCGTATCACAATTGTAGATCCTCTAAACGCAGGAAGCTTCCTACCCAGGGTCCCCCCACTGGCCATGGCCAGAGACATCTGGGACAGCAGCTCTGGGCAGGGCTTCAGGGCACCCAGGGTGGCAGCGATGCCCCCTGCCACTCCCATCATGCCCAGGGTGTTTCCCAAGCGACTGGTGCGCTGCGCAGAGAGGCCTGCCAGCGCTCCGACACAACACAAGCCTGAGCCCAGGTACATCATCTGAGGGGAAAAAACAACACATTTATGACTTCATTGTAGAGATCTCCAAGGTAGAGCAATCGACCACTGCTGCTCAAGGGCTGGTTCAGTCTGAACCATAGACTGTTATTAAGTATATATACAATCTATGATCTCAACCCCTGACAGTGTTTATTGGTCAAATAGAAAAATATAATTAACATAACTTACAGTTACATTCGTACATCAGTCTATTAACATAAACATTAAATAATATGACTTGCGTTAACCTGAGTTATTTGGTTTAACATAATTGTTATTTTTAGAATGAATTTGATGTCGCCACTGTGAACACAGCCACAGTCATCTTAAGTAGCACTTACTTCTGACAAGTTTTACTAGTTCTGTTTTACTTAAAAAGGCCATTGTGGCCTTCAGGTTAAATAAAATTAAACCATAAAAGCATTCTTAGTTTCAGGTGATAATATGTCGCTGAAATCATAGTCTTGCACATCATATTATATGTCTGCTAATAGACCCCCTAAATCCTACACACTGGACCTTTTAATAGTTGTTTAAATATCTTTGTTGTATTCTTAGTATATTCCAGAGACCTGCTCGATGTTGTATCCAGCAGCCACCGAGGCTCCATATCCCCCAACAAACACAGCCCCAGGCAGCAGGTACAGGTAGTTGTACTCAGGAGGGTCAGTGGGACGCTTGAACATGTCCAACATCCTCTGTGTGATCAGGAAACCACCTGCATATACGAAGAAGGAAAATGAATTGGTTTTCATTTGATCTGGCAGACAATGATTGTTCAGTTTTTATTTCTGTGTTTTAGTGCTGAATGTCAAACCGGCCATGTTGATGGAGGAAACGAAGGCAGCAGCAAGAGCGAGACTCTCGGGCACGGAGGAGGGTGTGAGACCCCCACCCATCAGCACCAGACCTCCAACAGCTGTCAGACCTGCCAGAGAGGACAGACGGATGCAAACAAAAATTGAAACAGGTTTAGACCATCAGAAGAACATCTTTAAATTTGGACAAAACCAAATTATTTTGACTCTGACCTGAGATGGCGTTGGTAACAGACATGAGGGGTGAGTGCAGAGCGGGGCTCACGCCCCACACAGTGTGGTATCCAACAAGCCCAGCCAAGCCAAAGGTGGTGACCATCTGACTGAAGGCTGCGTTGGGGGAAACGATGCCCAGAGCCAGACAGGTGGAAACACCTGCAGAGAAACACAGCAGTGTTGTTGTTATGTTTCCATAATGATGTAGTGGAAAAAACATGCAGATGTATTTTTCAGTCTATTCACCCTTAGAGCAATGGAATAATGGAATAATGGAATAATAAAAAAACAAAAACAGTTCTATTTCCATAAAAGGTTATGTGAGCGTGATGTTTCATATTTTCTCTAAAACTTCAAAGAACTGAACTTGCATGTCATACTGAACAAAAAATGTCTTCCAATTATAACGGAGGGCCTGGATTCAAATGCTCCATTAAGACTTGGCAATCTCTGAGGAATATTCTTTTTTTTTGAGAAATGTAGACAGGCTAAAACTTTTCAAATGTGATATTGTTGAACTATGGCTGCATAGGGTGATATTGTTGAACTATGGCTGCAACTTACAGATGTATTACCAATAAATGTGCATATCTTTCTTTATCAATCTTTTCTTGGCCTTTCTGTTTTAATGGATAGTAAAACTCTGAGAAAGAGATAAAAGGCATATAGAGAAAGCATGGTCTAATCGTTGTCTGTTTGGATTTTTGACATCATCAAATACTGAAAGTTATATTCCCATGATAGCCTTTTCAGGTCGATGGGAATGTCTTAAGATTGCTTTTTTGTATGAATTATTTTGCATGTTTGCTTTAAATTCTACTAAACTATCATCAAGATAGATGGATAATCAGTTTTTCAACAAATACATTGTTTTAGCTCTGTTTGGATCTGCTACATACTGGCTAGCAAAATGTAACATCATGGTAAGAATTGATAAGATAAAAAATGTCTTACCATTTGAGAATACAGGACATTCCAAGCTAAGTAACATAGTGATGTTGACATTTAGCCTGAATATTTCTGCTTGTATCTGAGGGTTTGTGTCTGACCTGCAGTGTAGACGCCAGCAGAGGTCATGGTGCGTTTGAAGGGAGAGATCACCGCTGCTTTCTCTGCCTTCAGCTCTGCGGCTGTTTTCTGTTTCACTGGGGGTGGGGGGACTGTTTTAGGGAGTGGGGCCGGGAACATGTCTTTCCCTTCCTGGGCACATTGTAAAACACACAAGAGTATCAATGTGAGAAAACAGAGGATGTCCACAGAGTTTTGCGTGAGAACCAGACATCAAGACTTGGAGTCCTGCATTGTGGGAGATCTGGCCTGGATGGTGGGAGCACTCAAAACACAAACTCACGAACCACAAAGGAGATTACACTGAACAAACAGCAATCATGAACCAGTTAGCAGTGGTTTTGAAATACAAATTCTCTTTTAAGGAGTCTGAATAATGCTTAGTTTAAAAATGAGTAAACTGATATGTCCTATTGAGGTTGAATGCCTTCTCTGCCATAAACAATTTGTCAAAAGCCAACTTTCCTGGAAAAGTATATTTTGAAACCTTTAGAAGAACATTCTTGCTGGGATCCAACACGAGCTGTTCCCAGCTGGGATTGGGTTTTCTAGTACTAATTTGGAGCAGTAAAAACACATGACAAGGTCTGATTCAGAAAGGGAGGAAGGCTGCCAGTAGACAGTTATAACAAATGAAAACCTACCTTCATAACAAGAGTCCCACGGATGACATGGTCAATTGTTCCATAGTCAAATTCATCTTTGGGAACATAGTGGAAGTATTCCTTGTCTGGGCTTATGGCCTTCAGCAGCTTTAGCACGTTGTTTGAATACAGAGTGCTGGCCTGGGTTGCCATGCGGCTGGGCAGGTCTGTGTAGCCAATGTGAGTTACTCCCTAGTTATTAAAAGATACAAAAATATTATTTGTACATAAAGACAGGCTTCCAAGGCATTTATGTTATCTATCAAAGTCTGCTGGCTTTGCGGAAATCTCACCTTGTAAACGTACAGCTCTCCAGGCCTGGTGGTCTCAATGTTGCCCCCTGCCTCTGAGGCCATATCCACCACCACAGAGCCGTCCTTCATCGACTCCACAAACTCTTTCTTGATCAGAATGGGAGCTCTCTTTCCTGCATGGAAACAGGAAACACAGGGACAGGTGTTCATAATATCTTTTAATCTAGGGATAGTCAGAGGTCAGTGAATCCACATCAAAGCTGCATGTATCCACAAGGGGGCGGAAAACATATTCAGATATGCATCAAAAAGGGCTTATTGAGTTGTTATGGCTTGTTTATCAAGTTCTGTGCACCAATAGTTGGGTTGTAGTTATCAGTAAATTCACCACACTGGCTCATTGTTACTACGCAATCAATTATGATTAATCTGTTTCAAACACTTAAATATATAGAATAATGGAGTGAATGAGACTGACCTGGAATCAGGGCAGTGCTGATGACGATGTCGACCTCTTTACACTGCTTGGCAAAAAGTGCCATCTCGGCTTCAATGAACTCCTTGGACATCTCTTTGGCGTAACCTCCAACCCCATCGCCAGACTCTTTCATGTCTACCTCCAAAGGCTCTGCCCCAAACGATTTGAACTGCTCCAGGGCTGCTGGCCTGGCGGTCGACAAACAGTCCGATTATTATCAAAGACATGATCATCCCACCCATCATAACAGAGTACGAAATTATTATTATTAATTATTATTTTCTGATACCTGGTGTCAAACCCTCTGACAATGGCTCCCATCGACTTGGCTGCACCTGCTGCTGCCAGACCAGCCACTCCACCTCCAATAACAAGGACCTGTGTACAGCCGAATCATTATTATGGAAGGTGTGGACCCTTTGCATTCAACTTTAATGTAAAGGGCCATGTTGACCTGCATAATAAGTCAATGTTATTGCAATTGCCCAACGTATAGGCCAACAAAATGACCAACACAATTGCTTCAGGGGGTTTTACAATCTGTAAAGCATCCGACACCCTCCGTCCTTTTCAACCCTTGCTCCGGATAAGAATAAAATAAAATCCCCAAACTACCCTTTCAACAAGAGGAACAAAATGAAAGAAACCTTAGGAAACATAATTACCACGAAGATAATCCATATGAAAACAAGATACATACTGTAAAATGTGAACACATATGAAAATAAACTCAGAGAGGACAAACATATATGAAGATACCTTAGCAGGGGGGACTTTTCCTGCAGCTGTGATCTGACCAGTAAAGAACCTGCCAAAGTGGTTGGAAGCCAGAACCACAGCCTTGTACCTAAAAAACATTAAAGTCACATTCACTTTAAATAAACATTTCTGAGCAGCTACAAATATATAATACATGGGATTTTGATAGCGCTTTTCCTAATGCTCAAAGACGCTTGGTTCAGTGAGAGTTTTCTTTACCCAGCGATGTTAGCCATGGAGCTGAGAGCGTCATAGCCCTGTGCGATGGTGACTCTGGGCACCTGGTCCATGGCCAGCACGTTGCTCTGCCTCTCTGACAGCTTCATCATCAGCTCTGGGTTCTGTGCCGGATAGATGAAGCTCACCAAGGTGGAGTTAGGCTTCAGGAGGTCTGCCTCAGTCAAACTGGGGGCTCGAACCTACAGAAATTTAGCAATATCCTGACTCAGACAACCTACACAAAGAATGGTGCTTATAAAGTGACCAAATAGCAGATATGTTCAAACCTTGAGAACCAAGTCTGAGCCTAGGGCTCCGTTGACGTCAGTGATGGTGGCTCCTGCATCTCTGTAATGCTGATCAGAGAACTTGGATTCCTCTCCAGCTCCACTCTCCACCTGCACGTTAAAGCCTTGTTTCACCAGAGCCTCCACCCCCGCAGGAGACAACGCCACGCGGCGTTCGTTCTGTAGGGTCTCCTTAGGAACCCCAACCACCAGGTCCTTGTAGAGCACACCTGAACACACAGAGCAGCTGAAAGTTGAGTCTGCAGAGCATAAAAAGCTCTAAACAGCTCTTTCTTAAATAAATGTATACACAGCTTTATACACAGAAATCAATATCACTATATAAAATGATTATTAAAAAAAAGGGGACCTTTTGGGTTTTTTTAACACAAGAGAGCATGCGTGTAGAGCGGAGATTGTGTGGCCTGGAACAGTGTCGGGTTACACATTTTTCCTCCATACACGGCACAGTGACCCCGCCATCATGGAGACATTATTAGCAGGTGATTGGCTCGGAGCCAACACACGCAGAGGCCTGCACTCCCACACTGACACATTCACAATTCAAACTTAAAAGCACTCAGTAACTAGCAAAACTCTCACAAACACTCTGTGACATCTGCCCGGAAAACAGACTCCAAAAACAATGGTCTGTGAACATAATGTTGGACAGGAGTAAAAGGTTTACGTGTCACCTTTAACTGACCTCTTTCATGGTCTCACATGTTAGCAGCTCTGCTCTCAGAGTACAGTAAGCATAGCCTTAGTCTCACTTCACTACAGCTCTCCCTATTTATGGAAGATCTCTAGCAACCTGTTGCAAACAGTTCATGATCTGTGGAGTTTTCCACTCTTCTTGCCAGATAATAATATCCTTAAGTGAACTCTAATTCCTCAACTCAAAAACAGAGGAAATCCAAACCAAAAGACAGCATGCAGACCTGAGCTGTCATCTTGAAAAATATTGAAAGGTTAAGCAGACAGATGTGCATTTCCTACCTCTGGAGGCTTCTTGGTCCCTTAACACAGGGTAGGTCCTGAAATGCCTGCTTCTAGGAATCCTCTGACGGACCCCTTTATGAAGCAAAGCGACAGAAGAGCTGGAGATGCAGCGCAGTAGGGACGACATGGCCACTGAGCGTCGGCCCTGAGACTCCCTCTTGCTCTTGAATATGAACGCAACCAAACAGAGGTCAGTAAACACTACTTCTGCTTTTGCTGTCAAATAAAAAAGCACATTATAATCCCCCCCAAAAAAGTAGTTCCTGAGCCCCAAAGTCACACAGTCAGGCCGTCTGTGCTGCGAGGCCTACTGACAGCAAAGTGACATTTCAGCTCTGCAGGACATGAGACACACACACACACCAAGGGCCCAGGGTTGATTACACACCACGGACTTGTTCGCGAGATCTGGAATTATGACGGCACAGGGGGGGAAACTGTGCCAAGTCTGGCCTGGTTGTTGTAAGCAGAAGCAGAGAGAACAGGGCAGAGAAATCTGATTAAATGCTGTGAGGTTAGGGGGGGACAGCTCAGGACTCAGACACACACCCTCACACCTTCACCTCAACCCTACATAACAATAGGCCTACTGTGAAAACAGTAGGCCTTTTATTTTTACAAGTGGTCTTTTAAAAAAAAATGAAAATCACCAAAAAATAAATAAAAGTGTAGAAACGTGTAATACTCTGATTTGTGTTTTTATTTGTGGGTAGAAAAAGAATGTTCCATCTTTCACTAAATTACAAAGTCAACCAGTGTCCTTCATCCTCCATCTTAAACTATTTCACTCAGAAAGTGTAGAGTAGTTGATTGCTTTATAATGGCCAGACTTGCCTTTCAGATCTCCAGAAAGGGCAGGTTAATGGTTCAACCTCCTTCCGCAGCAGCAGGGGTCACCTGTGAGACGTCCTACCCAAAATCCCCCTCTTCTGCTCGCAGGACGCCCTTCCGCAGTTTCGATATCTGTGCAGAACTATTTATGTATAAATAGCAAGTCATGTGATTTCACCCATGTACCACCGCTGAGCAGATAAACTCCCAGCGGGCGCTGCGAGACTACCTGCGAATTAAAGACTGGATTACCATGTGTATCACAAATAGTCCTGGTGGTAACTGTACTTTTTAATGGTATGCAGCATACATACATATTGCGATAGCCCCTCTCACTTTTTAAGCAGCTCTCAAATAAAACAGAATGATGTTGCGGCCGGTTACAGGTACATATAGGCGGGAAATATAAATGTAACATGTTTATTTAGTTTTTCTACATTTGCTGCATTTATATTTTCTTGACGCAGGGTGACGCCAGAGCGCCAGAGACAGTTGTTACACTTCATTGCTGGACTATTTCCTGTCTGTTTTTGTTTCTTTTAAATATTACACAATATCTTTTAAATTATTGTTATTATTGTTGTTGTTTTTAATGGCTATTATAATGTATAGATTGTATTTCCAACATGACACATTTTCAAAACATGTTCAATACACTGATTGAGCAATAAGCATACTAAAATAAAGGTTGACACTTGAGGGTTTAACATTAGACTATGACAATGGTTCAACCGTCTTGTTTATTGCAAGTATAAGATAACATAATAAAAAACAGACTGAAAAACACAAAAGGATGAAAGCTTCCAAAAATGTCGCCCTGAAAAACGTATAACTTTAGTGAGTGTAGCCTACAGATTAAGTATTTGTGTTATTTGACAGTATTACGTGGTAATAGTTATAACTTGACTCATGAAACTAACAACAATATGTTTCCTTTTTAAATAAATAACAATATTAAGCTTAATTTTTGAAGCGGAAGACAGCTTCCACAGTTTCGCGCAGGGTAACGTTTTTGTTGGCCATCATTTTTGAAACACCACATGGGTTTTGTAAACATTGCTCGGTCTGTTTCATGGATGTATCAGCAACACTGTTAACGCCGATATCATTTTTGCCATCATTTCGTAGTGCCACACATTCTCTGGTATGTAACTAACTAACAGTATTTAAAAGCACACACGCAGCGAGCTTAAGAATGAGGTCGTAGCTAACAGCTAGTAGCATACGTAACCTAGCTAAAGTTTAAACGTGTGGCACTATCTCCATTCCTGCGTGTGTCACTGTGATACAGAAGTAACGTTTTCTGCTTGCCTTTCTTTATTTTCCTGTCAGTGAGGCTACTGTTGGACACTAATGTCTCTGAGGCTGCTGTCAGTGGATCCATCGGACCGGGGCTCTCAGAGATGCAGGCTGGGTCCAGGCTTGATGTCAGCGCTGGGTCTGGGTCTGGGCTCCCCACTGCTGGTCTCTGTTCCCGGGGGAAGCTGCCTGTGCACCGCCTGGCCCCGGGCTGACCTGGCAGAAGGTTTCCTGCAGATGGACCTCAAATGTTCCTCTCCAAATCTGATCTTTTACCCACCCTCTCAGCTCTGCCTGGACCCTGGCCAGCTCACACCTGTGCCCTGCCCCAAACTGAAACATGTGAAGATAACTGTGGTGGTCCAGAGTGTTGACTTTAAGAAACACACACCTCCCCGCCTTGTTCAGGAGCTTGTGAAAGACATGCTGAAAGGGGTGTATGTCCACAACAAGCATGTGATAAACCTAATGGATTTTGACACAGAGATTAGATATGTTGTTATCGAAAGCATCGATCTGGAGTCTTCCAGTGCTGGATTGATCACCTCCAAAACTGGTTTGGAGATAACTGGCATCCAGACGGTCCGGCATTACTGGAGTCAGCTGCAGGGCCATCATACTGTCCCAGTGGGGGGTCTGGACGAGGTCAGCATACATTTCATGTGATGACATCATTGTTGTGTTTCCCCTCCTACATATGTTTCACTGTATTGTAGGTGAGTGCCTCCCTGAGAGAGATGCTGCAGCTGCCCCTGCTCTATCCGGCCACCCTGAACTCTCTCGGGGTGTCCTGTCCCAGAGGTGTACTCCTCCAGGGGCCTCCGGGTGTGGGCAAGACCCTGCTGGTCCGCAAAGTGGTGGGGGAAGTGGGAGCCAGCCTGGTTGTGGTCAGAGGGCCAGAGGTAACATACTATCAATGACATTCTACCACATGCTCTGTGTTTACATTAAGTTATTGTGTTCAATTCTTTAAAGCTCTATTTCTAGTTACCTGCAGCACAATTCAGACCTGTGACTCTGCGTGTGTTTTGACTTTTCAGCCATTAAATATAAAGGAAATATTTTAGAAAAGTCTTTAATAAAAAAAATCTAAAAACTAATGAAAATGCAGATATCTTCTTATGGAAAAATAATGCCAACCCACCTCTCCAGTTATACATCTCCTTGACAGAAATCATCCACAACATTTTAAACTATTATAGTAAAGAATGTTGCTAAAAAAATACTTAATTTTCAAGCCAAAAAGGCCAAATTACAAAGCAGCGTAAATATTTTTGAATTATATGTTACAAGGAATTGTTCCTGTCGATGTTATTGTACATTTTAGATAATAGATTGTGATAATACTTTTAACCAATAAAGATTAAAATGATCCAAACTGAGATTACACTTCAAAATAAACTCACTTACCTATATATATGTTGTAAAGCATTGTGAATGTGTTGCATTAATACATATTGTTCTTCTTCTAATGTGTTTATCTAATAATGATTGCAGGTGGTGGGATCGCGTCCAGGGGAAAGTGAGGAGAAGTTGCGAGCTGTGTTTGAGCGGGCTCGATCAGCAGCTGAAGAGGGTCCGTGTGTGCTGTTCCTGGATGAGTTGGACTCTCTATGTCCGAAGAGGACCGGCTCGTCGGCTCCGGAGAACCGGCTGGTGGCTCAGCTCCTCACTCTGATGGACGGGATGAACCAAACGGATCGCTTCCTCATCATCGGAGCCACTAACCGCCCGGACAGCTTGGACCCGGCCCTGCGCAGGCCTGGAAGATTTGACAGAGAGGTGCAGATGATAATATACTCAACCTGATACAGCATTATAAATGTAAATTAAGGTTCTAAATGTGTACATCTTTCCTCCAGGTCATCATTGGAGCTCCCACCCTGCAGCAGAGAAAGGCCATCTTGTCCGTTCTGAGTGCGAGGATGCCCGTGAGTCCCAGTGTGGACATGGCAGAGCTCGCTCAGAGAACTACAGGCTACGTCGGAGCGGACCTCAGCGCCCTGTGCAGAGAGGCTGCCATGCATGCTATACGAGAAAACTCAAAGGTACTTTATAATTTTATTTTTACTTAGTCAGGCATCATTGATATTAAAATTGTGTAAGTAGGGCCTGAGATAAAAAAAAAACAGAAACAACACAACTCCTTGTTTGCAGTTAATTCCATTTAAAAGATGCATGCATTAGTGTATACATTTGGGATATCTAAGGTGAAGTAGTTTCTGTATAGTAGACTTCGTTTGCTATATTTTATTGAAAGAAGAGATTTGAGTAGTTGTTTGGAAGCTTCAACAGTAGCGCTTAATAGATGAATAACTATGATGGCTTTTCCTTATTAGGCCCATACAATTGTTTGATACAGAGAATTATGACGCAGCATTGTTATACAGTATGCCTGAAATGTGTCTTGAATGACTTGTAATCATATTTAGTTGTTTCACTCATTTTATTTTATGTATAGGGCTGAACAGGAAACAATATTTTAGGCCCACTACAGTGCAAATTGATAAATTGATAATAAAGTTGACTTTCACTTTGACTGAAATATGGTAATGGTACTTTATAAACCTTAAATTGCTTTTGCACAGTCATCCTATATGTACCCAGGACTCTTTTGACAGAAGAAAGAGAAGAAGAACATCTCCATACCGCTCAATCTGTACAGAATTAGGTAAAACCGCGTTCTCCTTCTCTCGCGCCAAATGAGTTTACCTACATTAAAAGTAAAGTAGAATTGATAATGATACAGATTATCATGGTTAAATAATATATATTGCATTTAGCTGTATATGAGTGCTTAAAAATGCTTTAAACCCTCTATTGCGTTAAAGACATGTCTGACCTTTCTGAATTGTTTTGCTTTGTTAATATTGTCTGTAGAGTTCAGGAGAGCAGGTGGTGGGGATGCAGCACTTCCAGGAGGCCCTGAAGGTGGTGGGGCCCTCCTGCCTGCGGGGCAGCCTTGGCAGGACGGAGCTGTGTCCGCTGTCCTGGGATCAGATAGGAGGCCTGGATGAGGTCAAACTCAAACTAAAACAGGTAAATAAACGCCTGATTTCTTTCAACACAAAACACAAAGCGTTTGTTGACTGGTAAAGGAAAATATCTATCATTGTAATTCCCTCCCTCTCTACTCTCTCGTGTCTGAACATCAAAGAGTATTGAGTGGCCGATGTTATACCCAGAGGCGTTTGTTCGCCTGGGTCTGTGTCGGCCCCGCGGCGTTCTGCTCTACGGACCTCCAGGCTGTGCGAAGACCACGCTGGTGAAGGCTGCAGCGGGCTCCACTCACTGTGCCTTCCTGTCAGTCGGTGGTGCTGACCTCTACTCTCCGTATGTGGGAGACTCAGAGAAGGCTTTGGCGCAGGTACTTTCTTTTTCCAGTCTGTAAATCCCCAGCTGTGTTTGTATCCTCATGATTCACCCCTTAACACCTGCACCTGGCTGCCCACACACAGCTGTTCCGCCAGGCCCGGGCCTGTGCGCCCTGTATCCTGTTCCTTGATGAGATTGACTCTCTGATTGGCTCACGGTCCAACAGTCAGACACCGAACAGCGTACAGACCCGCCTCCTGTCCGTGCTCCTCAATGAGATGGATGGGATTGGGCTGAAGACGCTGGAGAGGAGAGGGACGGAGAAGATCCTCCAGGCGGAGGGGGCGGAGGAGAATAGCACGCAGAAACAGGTCCGATATCATCAAGGCTTTTACTCCTCCTTCCGTTGCTCAAATACACAACATTTAATTTTCTGACACAAGAGGTCTTTCAATAAAAAAGAATTTAAAAATTGAGTTTGAAGTCATCAATTGCTGTCAGGTTCTCCCAGTTAGGATTCGTTCATTGTTCATAGCTCAGTTTAATATTTCACTAACGCTGTT